TAAAAGTCCTGCAACGAACCTCATGGTGTGTGTTTGAAAGCACTATATATGTAGTAATTAACTTGAGAGCAACACCACTGCATGTTATTACTTTGAGAGGCAGCAACCATGTGATCATCCAAAAATGAACAAAACTCACCTTTTTAGACCAGTTTTTAACGTGTGATTGATGACGTGTCCTTGTGATAGATGTGGTTTTATTGCTCGAATTTAATTAGACTTTTTATCGTATCTTATCTGTGTGTAAAAGCCGATCCACAAACAGAGAATTGAGATTTATAAATACTGACTGGATTCACCAATGCCTGAAGGTTGTACACGTTAGAAAGTGGTGTCTTTCTGGGTGTTAGGACTCATTCCTGCACCTCTCCATTAGATCTGGTTCAAAGCATCCTCAAAATAAGAACGAAAAAAAGCTTTATGCTTAGTGGATTTAGTTTCTAGCTTATAACAAAGTTCAATGACATGCATCCTTTACATTTGTATTGGGAGGCTGTGGCTCAGTGGGGAGTGCGCTGAACTTGGAATCAGGGGGTAGCGAGTTCGAGTCAGCATGTCGTTGTGTCCCTGAGACACTTCACCCCAAATTGCTCCTGTGGGGATTGCCCTCAGTACTGAATGTATGTAAGTCGCTTTGGATAAAAGCGTCTAACAAGTGACATGTAATGTAATGTATTATAAAAATGCCTGTTTTGTCACCTGAAGTTCTCGAAAACGAACTAAAAAGTGTGACGGTTTGCATAAAGCTGTCGTTTGTTTGAGAATAAATTGGAAGCAAAGTGTCCAATCAGGTGTAGCAGGGATTTATGTTAATCTGAAGGGGGCTACTGTTTTGTTTGATCATCAGTAAGACATTTAAAAATCTGCTGGCACTGCACATCTAATAACCTGACCTGGAGGGACACAGCATGGCCGCCACACAATATATGCTAATTAAGTCAAAAAGAAGCAAAGAATTTGGATGAATCAAAATATAGAAGGCTAACAATTCCCTGCAATTTGAACCATATTTGGTGAATGAAACAGGCCTGGTATATTAATTGCATATTACAATCTGCTCCTGGGTGAGTAAATATGTGCTTTTCTAGCAGAGGAAACCCCACTGTGTGGCGGATTAGCGATATTCTGTTGAGCTGCCTCTCTTTGAACTACAGCGGAGATCCAGTGAAAGAGAGGTGAGAGTAAAACCCAGAGGGAGGAACACAGTAGGGGAGAGACTGACAGAGAAGAGTGACGATCGCTATTCTTTATGATTTCATTCATGCCTTAAGTGTGTAAGAGGAGAGAATCAAAATTATTACAAATGACAGAAATTGAGGGAGAAGAGGGTCTTCACTTAGCCCTGATCCATTTTCCACTTCAGCTTCAACATGTGTAAGATCTTCCGGTTTAGCACTAGCCGCACTATAAATAATACTTTTTATTTAGGATCATTTACAAGCTTGGTGTTACAGATCCACATCCATCCTCTGTTAGTGATCGTATTAAAATTGCTCAAATTCCCATATGAGGATATTTCTGTTGTAATAACTCTGTATGCGTGTCTTTTGGTTCAGATGGCTCCAATGTTTATAATAACTCTCACTGCCAGAAGGGTAGACAAAGATCCACAGAGTTAACATTTATCAAAACAAGTTAACATTGAGACAAAATTCAATAACCTGGCAGTTAGCTATTTAGCTAGCGAATGTAAGCTATCTTGCTAACTAGTGAACGTTAGCAGTGGCGGCGCCAGGGTATGGCTGGGGTAGGCCACAGCCATACTAAGAAATGGCATAGCCCCACCTTAGCCCCACCTTATAGCCCCACCATGAAAAATTATGTTAAAGTAAGCAAATTCAATTAAATAATAAGCAAAATGCAAAATGTTGAGAACACTGCTTCCGAAAATATACGGGTCGTGTCCACAACACATAAACTGATCCTGCTGTAACAAGTGCACGTTACTGATGCAATATGGTTGAGACCATTCGGGCTTATGCTATAAGAGGGGTGCAAGGAATAGTCCAAGTAGTGGGGGAGTTTTATACACTAAAGGTGTGGAAATTCTCTGGCGTTATAATATCAGCGCGGTCAGATCAAAATGCCTCCGAATGCAATTTGAATAGACCTACAGCCAATCAGAGCAACGCAACGTTGGGTCTGCGTCATGCCTTACTGATTGAGATCGATCGGAACCGCCATTCAGTATCCCCATTGGATCTTCAACGTGTACTATCATACGTCACGTTCACAGTGATCCCTTTTTATTTAAGACAAATGTGCCGTTTTATTTCATACAGTTCCATTCTGATTGAGACAGGGAAATAATCTAAACCTCACGCGTGGCGTTTCACTATCAAGGGGGGCGATATAGCGTGTATGTAATTACATTGCAAATACTGACTTGAGCCCCACCACTGTATGGGTTAGCCCTACCATAGATTACCTAACAAAAATACTCTGGCGCCGCCACTGAACGTTAGCTATCTAATTAACAAACTAGCTAACATTCGCTATCGTTCTACCAATCAAACAGCCTAGCTAGCTTTCTATCGCCAAATTGGTGGCTCTCATAATTTAAATTAGAGTTATTATTTAAATATTGTTGAACATTTTGATATAGCAAGCAGCTTTTCATATCTCGAAACATCACTGTAAATGGTCAAATATGCGTTATTTGATAAACTTAGCACATATAGGAAATACAAATTGTTATTTTGTCTCCTGAATAACTCAATAAAAGTACATTTAAAAGCTTCTTAATAGTTTATTTGGTAAGTAAAGGGAGATAAAACTGGCTATACGCTATGCTAATTCATATCAATAACACTCTAAAATAAGGCAATGTGAAAGCGTTGACGAAGCATAAGGTGAATAGTCGTGAGGAAAGACTTCCAGAAAAAGCTCAAGAGGTGACGATGTCTTTGTGAACAAACCGTAGAATAGAAATGTGGTGGAGAGCAGATAAAGGGTGGAAAGAGGCAGAGAAGAAGTTTGTAATTATAAGAGGCAGGGGGAACAAATGAATCAGCATTGCTGCAGTTGAATAATGCAACAGAGGAGCTTGCAAACACACAAATGTACAGAGGACAGGGGTTGGTGTATTTCAAGGAAAGAAGCTAGCTAGCAGCGACACAGAAAGAGAACATCTGTGGCTTATGGAAATGGCTCGTGTTCAAACAACTCACGCTGCATTTCAATCGACTCACCGTTAGCTATAAGGAAACAACACCTCGGAAAACCTTTCTTTATGTACAACTGGAAATACCTACAGAGTGTTAGCTTGCGTTATTTATTCCCCCGACAGAGTGTGTATTCCCTACCTTAAAATGTATTATGACGGGAAGTTGAAAAGCAAAACGAGAAACAAGTTAACTTTGAAAACGCCGGAGATCTGTTTCTTATTCTTGTCAGTTATTCAGCAAACAACAAAAAGGGGCTTCAGTATGGAGATTATGTTTTTCTTTTTACAAGTATTGAATGCCATACCATACAAAGAAAAAAGTGTCATTTTTAATTTGCACCAGTGAAGTGGTTTTGAATGTCACATCCACTTTATGAATACAAATGCATTTTCCTTGACGTGTGGAACGGTGCGGGGGAAAGGAAAGTCAATTTCTTTATAAATGTTGAGGGTCAGAGAAAAGGTGGGAACAGAAGACGTTACGTTTATTAGAGGAGGTGTGTGTTGTGTTTGTGCTCAGCCTGAAGCGGTTTGGATTAACAGAAGTACAGCGTGAAGGACAGACTGCGGTCAGAATACACTTCTTTCAATATGTGTGCAGGAGGTCTTCGAAGAAAACAACACATACATGCAGATAAAACTACTTCCTTGACTTTAGTAGCTCGAAAAAGAGTGCATTCAAGATCAATGAACACCAGTTTATACTCATATTTAAAAGAAAACAGTCACTCTGGAGAGTGTCTCTGCTTTAAAGAGTCCTCTCCTGCTGATGTTCAGGTGTATATCAGTATGTAGTGTCTCTACTTTAAAGAGTCCTCTCCTGCTGATATTCAGGCGTATATCAGTATGTAGTGTCTCTGCTTTAAAGAGTCCTCTCCTGCTGATGTTCAGGTGTATATCAGTATGTAGTGTCTCTACTTTAAAGAGTCCTCTCCTGCTGATGATCAGGTGTATATCAGTATGTAGTGTCTCTGCTTTAAAGAGTCCTCTCCTGCTGATGTTCAGGTGTATATCAGTATGTAGTGTCTCTGCTTTAAAGAGTCCTCTCCTGCTGATGTTCAGGTGTATATCAGTATGTAGTGTCTCTATTTTAAAGAGTCCTCTCCTGCTGATGTTCAGTTGTATATCAGTATGTAGTGTCTCTACTTTAAAGAGTCCTCTCCTGCTGATGTTCAGGTGTATATCAGTATGTAGTGTCTCTACTTTAAAGAGTCCTCTCCTGCTGATGTTCAGGTGTATATCAGTATGTAGTGTCTCTACTTTAAAGAGTCCTCTCCTGCTGATGTTCAGGTGTATATCAGTATGTAGTGTCTCTACTTTAAAGAGTCCTCTCCTGCTGATGTTCAGGTGTATATCAGTATCTAGTGTCTCTACTTTAAAGAGTCCTCTCCTGCTGATGTTCAGGTGTATATCAGTATGTAGTTGTCTCTACTTTAAAGAGTCCTCTCCTGCTGATGTTCAGGTGTATATCAGTATGTAGTGTCTCTACTTTAAAGAGTCCTCTCCTGCTGATGTTCAGGTGTATATCAGTATGTAGTGTCTCTACTTTAAAGAGTTCTCTCCTGCTGATGTTCAGGTGTATATCAGTATGTAGTGTCTCTACTTTAAAGAGTCCTCTCCTGCTGATGTTCAGGTGTATATCAGTATGTAGTGTCTCTAATTTAAAGAGTAAAAAGTGAGAATTTTGAGATATTGAGAAAAAGTCAGGATTTTGAGAAAAAGTCAGAATTTTGAGAAAAAGTCAGAATTTTGAGTAAAATTCAGACCAGTGAGATTTGTCTAACACTTTGTCTCTTTTGATTCCTCCTCTCCTCTCCTCCCTTCCCCTCTTTAGCCCAGAACTGCTCGGGTGTCTGGACGTGTGCTGAGTGTCTGGAGAGGACAGAGTGTGGGTGGTGTGGAGACCCCAGTAACACAGGGAGGGGGGTCTGCATGGAGGGGTCGTACAGGGGTCCTCTGAAGCCTGCCGTGCCCAGAGCAGGGCCTCGAGACCGGGAGAGGCTCAGAGACAGAGACATGGTCCTGGACCAGAGCCTGTGTTCCTCTGACAGAGGGTTCAACTGGGCCTTCATTCAGTGTCCTGGTGAGTGATATAATAATCACTCACTATTATTAATAATAATAATAATAACATGTCAACAATTAAGATGTTCTTGAGACTACTGTATAAACGGCACCAACAATACACCTAAGCAGCTATTATGTATTGCACTTAGTGTACCCAACAATCAGCTGAGTGTCTCGTGTGTGTGTGTGTGTGTTTCCCCGCAGCGTGTCAGTGTAACGGCCACAGCAGGTGTGTGAACGGCAGTGTGTGTGAGCGCTGTGGGAACCTGACGGCCGGCCCTCACTGCCAGAGCTGCATGCCGGGGTACTACGGAGACCCCACCAACGGGGGGAGGTGCAACGGTGAGTCAAAGTTTAACAAATATTTATATTTTAAATGGTTTTTTGAGTGGCAAAATGGGTCTGTAATTTCATTCCTTAAAAATGCCCTGCCTGAAACGCCTCCATTGGACTCCTTTGTTTACTTCCAGAACACAGTGACATCATTACACTCGCGCTCCTATTGGCTAGCGCTCCAACACATTGTACGTGATAGGCTAAGGGGCGGGACATCTCTAAGCAGGTTGACCAATCACAACAGAGCCGGCCAGCTAACCAATCAGAGCAGACTGGGCTCTGGTTTCAGACAGAGGGTGAAAATAGTGTGAGAAAAATAAAGAGCTTTTTGAACATTACAGCATGGAGACATGTCCTCTGTGAAAGTTATACCTTCTTAAAGCAAGTTTTCTGTTGTGGGAAACAGTGTCATGTTAAAGTATTGCAAAACAAAAGCACAACAACATGCAATACAGTGCAACAGTGGCTCAGTCGGTAGGATGGGTTAAATGGTTAAAGGTCACATTTCACTGTGTGTGCTGTGCTGTGACAACAACAACAACGAGGTTTCTAATAATCTGATTCTAGGGATAATTTTTCAGAAAATGTGAGAATTTTGAGAAAAAGTCCGGATTTTGAGAAAAAGTCCGGATTTTGAGATTTGAGAAAAAGTCAGTATTTTGTACATGACAGGATGTATGACTCCCTAGAAGAACCGGTATTCCTCCATCTTGTGACTGCAGGGTTTCCCACACATAAACTATACTTGTGCGGGCCGCCCAGGTATATTAACGGCCGCCCAAGTATATTTCACGACCCATTTAGGCTTTTTTTAATAAAAAAAAAAAAATTATTTATTTTGTATTCGTCTGCGATCGATTAACTTGTGGACAATGATCCCTCGCTCTACGCCTCCTGTACCCAGTCCCGGACTGGCCATCGGGAGGACCGGGGGGTTTCCCGATGGCCTGGCCTGTTTTTTGGGTGACTGGCTGTCTACATGATGTGGCCTGCCGACAAGGTCACACAGATCATAAATCAAAGCCGTTGATTGGTCTCTGTGTGTCATTCAAGCTCGGGGTAACCTCAGCCCAGGTGAGGTAAAGGACTCTCTTGTTTAGATAGTTAACTTAGTCTAAGTTCTCAGTGGGTCTCAAACGGTTTGGTCACCATTTATGTAAACACATATTTCCATTTGAGGGTGTCAGTGTTTTTTCATATTGGAAATGGTATGTTATTGGTTATGGCCATGATTTCATGATTATTGAAATGTATACAGTTCTGTTTCATATAGGTGTTCCCATAGATCTAGTCTCTTTATTTTCCCCTCAAAGTGCACCAGATTGATGCATTTAACTCCAAAATAAAAAATATAAATCTTACCAGGGATGCCCCCGGACCCCCCTAGAGGATTTGAGGTCCACCCCCACTTAAAATCACATGGACAGGTTCCTAAATACATTTACCATTTTTTTTAAATAGTAACCCATGTCCATATGTTTATTTGTGGGTAGTAGATTTAAACTATAGGGCTATCACTACGGGCCCTGCCTGTACCTGTTCGCTCTGCCATGGCGTGAAGGGTCTGCTAACAAGCGACCAACAGAAAGGTTCATGTTGTTGCACGTCACAAAGGCACGGCACCTCAAACTCCTGTCAGTGTAAACATCTGCAACAAACAACCTGATGAGGGCAGTGTTGAAAAGCTGTGTGGCTTCACCAGAGAAAAGGGAAACTACAGTACAGGTGTGTTTGAACAGGTATCATGATCTCTGTTTCTACACTGCAGCTTATGTGCATATGACTATAAAACCTTTGAAATGTTGAAATTGAAATAGTTGTCCTGCTTGGAACATCGCCTGTCAGCATCTTTTGTTTTCGCATCATGTGGAAATGATCTGTGAGTTGTTACCATCAGAGTTAGAGAGTACAAAGCAACAGAATATGTGATGTGAATGCTCAGGGGGGGAAGGGAAGGGAAAGTGTGTGTGTGTGTGTGTGTGTGTGTGTGTTGTGTGTGTGTGTGTGTTGTGTGTGTGTGTGTGTGTGGTGTGTGTTGGTGTGTTGTGTGTGTGTGTGTGTGTGTGTGTGTGGTGTGTGTGTGTGTGTGTGTGTGTGTGTGTGTAGTGTGTGTGTGTGTGGGTGTGTGTGTGTGTGTGTGTGTGTGTGTGTGTGTGTGGTGTGAGGGAGAGGGAGGTGTAGTTGCATCACTC